AAAGAAAGAATTGACCAGTTTACATAGAGAATTTAGAGGATGCAGAGGACCTTCTTTGTTGGAAAATAAAAGTATTTCTCATCTTCAGTCTCTTTTTCCAGTAACAGATTCTCAAAGTAATATAAAATCTGGAGACAAAGGTCAATTCATAGCACTGAGAGCTCCTTTTATTAAGACTTCTGAAGAATTAAGGCCATACTTAATAAACCTTGTCAGCTAGATAAATGAAGTTTTTGAAACTGGATGTGGTGGCACGCCCCGGGGCGGCCGCGTGGGCTGCCGGGAAAGCGAGTCTTCCGGCCGGGCGGACGCGGTCGCCATTGCGCCCCAGTCTCTGAGCTCCCTTAGCCTTTGCCTTGGCCTTCTCTTGTCTCGCTACCCTTGTCACGGTCCACGGGTGCTTTCAGTTCCTCCTTGTGTCTATTTTTATGGCCTTTAATTAAGACAGTTGTGGGAACTGTATCTTTCGGTGAGTAAGCTACCTCTACCTTTGGTGATACATTTTCCACACAAGCGTAACTGTGTATATAAGGAATGAAGCCCCAGATCTTTGCTGTTTTGATGTCTGGGTCCTTCAGGATGACCCACGGGGGAGCCACATGCACGTATCCAAGTCGTACTGAGTCGAGGGCAGCAATGGAGTGTATTGCACCAAGGACCTTGTGCCTCAGTGCCTCCTGCTCCAAACGTGTTCCTACAGCAATCCATTAAATGGGCGTAAGTCCTCAAGTCTTCCATAATGCCAAGGTCAAGGTGCAGAAATTTAACTTTGATCGTTTCACTTGATCCCAGTAATCCCACTTCTTTTGGATAGGCAGTGGAACCAGAAACCCCCCAACAGTCCATGACCCCAGTGAGAACATAGAGCCCAAATGATGCTATAAGTACAGAATGCCAAGTATATGGATTGTAAAATAAACTTTGGTTATAAAGTACAAGAGGATAAAATGTCTGGTTGGGCCAGGGCTTGAACAATACAGCACTTCAGAACACGGCCAGTAAAGAGCAGCATTCCTATTAATGAGACCTGTAACCCTGTCCAGTCCTGTTAAATATCTGATGAAAGATGTTAACGTCCATCAAAGCTCGTGCTGTAAATGTCTTCTGGTAAAGAGTTCATAACATATGTTGTCATGCATAGGGCTGATGACATTAAGTTCATATTGCTGCACAATGTCTCTTGTGCTTTGAGCTAGAGCAGAACTTTTTGTCCTGAATTTGTAGTTCTTGTCAAGAGGAAGCAATTCATGAGACTCATCTAGTATGACATGAAGTGATGCAATTAGTATTTGCTAACAATCCCTTTTCCTTCATACCCATAACAGGCAGTTGAAATGAGATTTGAGATCCAGAACTTAACAAACAAGTTTCTGTTTTGATGTCATTCTTTGTGCCAACACTGCAGTCATCAAAGGAGCAATATATCTGCAGTGGATGAAGGAACTCAGCAACCTTCACTCAAGCTGTCCGGAGGCACTTGCAGACCTGTCTTATATGGATGATATATGAGTGCCCATGCATCTTATCCTGTCAGATAGGGAAGGCAAGTTGAACTTAATCACACCCAGAGCTCCAGAAGTATCATAAAGCGTTGCTTTAAAAGTGGTCACAGCCAAAGCATTTCTCAGCATAAGCAGGAGGAGGTTGAGGAGAAGCAGCTGGTGCCAGCAACAGGTAAAGTGGTGGTTTTGAAGTAGGTGACAGTGCAGGCCTAAAACCAACATGGCCTTGTGGTTCCTTTGTTGATACAAAGGAGGAGAGATTCAGCCCAGCAAGCTTCCTCTCAAGCACTGAGACCCTGAGAGATAAACCACTGACAAGAGTTAGAATCTTATGCCCACTTATCTTCGACAGCACTTCTCCTGTGTGATCTTGGTTCCTCAGTTTCTCTACTGATCTCCATACTTCATATTCCAGACTCACCCCTGTGAATTCTGCATCTCTCTGCAGCCCTCAACATCTCCTGAACATCGCCTTACTTAGCTCCACCCTAACTCTTCTGTTGCCATCTCAGTTATTTCCAACAGTTGTTCTTGTGTGAGAAGCTCTGTCATCTTTACATGATCGCTGGCTTCTTTCAGTATAATTGCTTCGTGAGCCCTGTCTGCTGACATTCTTGGAACTCTCACTTTGAGGGCTTTCCAATGATTTCTAATGCTGTTACAAACTTTCCGTGACATTATGTCAATGTTTTTAAATAAACTAGTGTCCCATCGAAGATGAGGAAGCCCCTTGCTGACCCAAGCATGCAAAGGTTCTTTATTAGGTCCAACTGGCTTGAGGACTGTTCCATGCTCATAGAGAGTCTTGTTCAAAGCTCTGAGCACTGTGTGAAGTCCCCCTGCATCCTTCATAGGATGCGCCTCTTGATTGGTGGCTTCGCTAATGCAGCATCAATCTTGTATTCAGGTATATGAGAGAGCTATTCTTTTGTTGACTTCTGGTCTTGGAAGGTTAGGTCTGCCTTTCTTTTCCTGGTGTTTGCCATCTTGCAAAGATTTGGAAAGTTAATTGGTGCAGCTCACGGTTCCTTCAAGCTCGGTGTTTTAAAATACAGAAACATTTCTTAGCGGGGCGTGGTGGCACACACCTGTAATCCCAGCACTCGGGAGGCTAAGGCAGGAGAATCGCTGTGAGTTCAAGACCAGCCTGGGCTACATAGTTCCAGGTCAGTCTCAACTACATAGTGAGACCCTGTCTCAAAAAACAAAACAAAACAAAAAACCAGAAACATTTCTTGTCCATGTTTCTCAACAAGAGCTTTTTCTACGTCAATAAACTTTTCACCTCCTGCCTAACTCCTGGAAGGGCCCACAGTGCAGTGCCCTTTGCCTGATCTGGCATTGACAGATTTTGGTCAATACAATCCTTGATGCCTGATAAAGTGTCATAGAGTTGTGGAAACATTGCCAGAGGTCATAAATGTGACGGCCACAGCGCCACCTAATGTGATTGGATGACCTTCGCAGGGCTGGCCAGGGCTGTAGCAGAGGCAAGGATCATATATGTTTTGAGGAGGCAGAATTGTGATTGGCTGAAAGTTGGTCTCTCCTAGCTCCAAAGTGAGTGACATTCTGCCCTCTCGTGGCTATTTTTAATGCCAGAGGGAACTGCTTCCTCCTTTGACCGAAAAGGGACAGACAGATGGGAAGGCAGGAAGGATGGACGTCCAGGAAGATGCTGCCCACGCACTTCTTGGAGAAGCCCAGACACAAGCTCCCCTCCTGTAGCCACCTTCCGAGTTCCTGCCACTCTCCTGCACATCCCTAGCAAGTTGGTTTTTTTTTCCAAAAAGACTTCTGCAAGAAAGGAGGAGAATTTCACGAATGCCCCTAAAGAGAATCTTGCCACTGGGTTTGCTTGCATTTCCTGGGTTTGCTGGCTTTAACAAGCAGGGCCGGAATAATGCCACTGGGCTCTGCTGTGGAAAGGTGTTTGTGTTACCCCTCATTCTCCTTACACAAATTTGCATAGGCATGCCCTCTGTAGCGTGGTTTAAATAGGTACTACGAGGAAACTAAGCCTCAACCAAAAATAAAAAAAAAAATTTAAAGAAAATATCACAGCTGGTTGTGGTGGTGCACGCCTGTAATTTCAGCACTTGGGAGGCTGAGGCAGGAAGGTCGCTGTGAGTTTGAGACCAACCTGGGCTACATAGTGAGTCTCAACTACATAGTGAGACCCTGTCTCAAAAAACAAAAACAAAAAAAAAAGCACAAATTGGAATAAGAATAGAAGCTTGATACACCCGGGGAGGTGCCAAGCCAATCAGTGGACTGATTTATTAATTACCCACCCTTAATCTTAACACTCTTAATCCTAGTAACTGTGAATCAGTTACACAGTCTGGATTCAGCCACCTCTGAGAAAGCCCCACCTATGATTGGCTGAGGCTTTGGGGGGACATCTAGACATAAGCCATAACTCCTGCTAGGAGTTTCCTATTGCTGCTATAACAAATTATCACAAATTTAGTAGTTTAAAATAGCCACACATAGCTGGGTGTGGTGCTGAATGCCAATAAATCCCGCACTTGAGAGGCTGAGCAGGAGGCTAACTGCAAGTTCAAGGCGAGTCTATACTACCTAGTGAGTGCAAGGCTGAATTACAGAGACTGTGTCTCAAAAAACCTTGAACAGCAACAACAACTCCACACATACACCATCTTTCAGTTCTGGAGATCAGAAGTTGAAAGTCAGTCTCATGGAGCTAAGTTGAGGTATCAGTAGGGCTAACTCCTCCCAGACATTCTGAAGGAAGAATCCATATCCTTGTCTTTTCTGTTTTTCATTAGTTACTAAAACTTTTCCTCCCATCACCACCTATACTACTGACTGATGCTTCTGCCTCCTTGTAAAAGGACCTTAGTCATTATACCCAGTCAATCTGGATAATCCACTTTAAACTCTATCTCAAAATGTTTCTCTTAATCCTTTAATTGGGTGAGCATCCAGGCCTGGTTTCAGTTGATTCGAGGATTAGCTGGGTCTGACAGTGCCTGTAGGCATTAAGTGCTTGAATCCTTGCACTGCTACCTATGTCCAGCACAGATCTGAGGTCTGATTGTGGTCCCTGTCTGCCAACACAAGCCCAGATGTATCTCAGTTTGGATACGGCTACAGCCTGGGGTAAGAAGAGGGAATGGGTCACAAACCCACAGGCCTTAGGGCAGGGCAGAGAATACCAAGACTTGCTGGCCTCCCAAACTGCAGACCCTCAAAGGAAACCATTCATTCAAAACTGCAGAGAAAAAAAAGTTTTTTTCCTGATTTTGGACTCATTTCTTCTTTAAAATCTTTCTTCTTTTTCATACTTTTATCTTTTTCCTGTTTTGAAATTTTTAAATATTTTTCTCTATTTTATTTCTTTTTTTCTTTTTTCTATATTTTGCTGGGGTTTTTTATTCTATGTTTATCTTATTCTATAAATATTCTTGGTCTCACTTTTCTTTTCTCCTTTGCATCTTTAATTGTTTAATATCAAAATTTTCCCTTTGCCTTCTACTATTCTATACCCCTATATATTTAGGAATATAACCATTAAGCTTTATTAATCTTTAGATAGTTAACTCTATGTTACTACTATCAGCTTTTTCTATCATTATTGGAGGTATAGTTACTGCATTTACAAGATATTTGTTGTATGTTAATATTCAGTTTGATAATTGTAGACCTCTTTTTTAAGGTTAAAGATGGTACATTCCTAGTTCTTATGATATGTCAGTATCCAGTTTGTCTTGAATTACTGTGACTGATTTACTTGATATTGCCAGCATACATAGTCTTTCCACTATAAGCCACCACAAACCTAAGCACCAAACCATTAAACAAACAAAACAATAAAATTATGAAAAGACAAATCAACAAAATGTTTCCCAAACTCACACCTCTCCAAAAGCTAATCCATCAAGCACTGAGGGGGAGGAAAGCAAAAGCTACACAGCAACAATTTTCAAAAGGTTAATAGAGGAGATTAAAACAGATCAATAAAGTGCCCAGTTGGGTCACAGAAAATGTAACTGAACAAATTGTAGAGGTAATAAGATAATCAGGGGGCTTACAGAAAACACGAATACGACTTAGCTGAGCTAAGCAAAATGATGCAAAACAAGAATGACCATTTTAGGAAAGAAATAAAGTCCATGAAGAGGTTCCAAATAGAAATCCAGGAGATTAAAAATTATATTGAAAGTATGGACATCAAAAGTGAGCAATGCAACAACAGAATATTAGAATATTAGAATTAGGAGATAAGGATGCTTTCAAAGATACCTTAAAAACAATAGAACATGAAAAATGAATCTAACAGCTGTTAGATGACATGGATAAGACTAATCTAAAATCAGTTGAAATAAGTGAAAAATCAGAAGACAGCACAAATAGTATTAAAAAAACTGTTTACTGAAATGATAGCAGAAAACTTTCCAAATAATGGGAAAGAATTAAACATACAGATAAGTGAATCATACAGAACCCTAATAAACAGGATCAAAAGAGAACCTCTGCATGTCACATCATAGCCAAAATCTCAGGAGTGTAACACGAGATCACAAGATCAGAATCTTTAAAACTGTTAAGAGAAAAGCAACAAACAACATTTAAAGTAAGCTCATCAGAAGTACCACAGACTTCTCAACACAAACCTTAAAGGTCAGAAGGGCTTGGAGTGAGAAGTTTTAAGCCCTAAAAAATAACAAATTCCAACCCAGACTTATATATCCTGCAAAACTTTCTTTCAAAATGATGGAGAAATAAGGTCTTTACATGACAAAGAGCACTTCAAGCACTTTATGAACATCAAAGAGGCACTGCAAAAAATCCTCAAGGATGTCTTAGAAAGAAACAATGAAACCAACAATGCCAAAAAATCTAATAGAATGAATATATTAGACAAGGTGAGCAGTTAAGCAGAGAGGGGAATGGAATGAGAAAGTAGCAACAAGAAAATAATGCAATGACAAGAATAAGCAATACTCTAAATATAAATGGTTTCAATTCCCAAGTCAAAAGTCACATATTGGTAAAATGGATCAAGAAAGAAAAGCCAATAGTATGCAGTATTAAGAAACACATTTCATACAAAAATAAATACACAGATCAAAATTCAAAGGATGGAAAATATTCCATGCAATAAAAACATAGAAACAAGCAAGAATACTATTATAATTTCAGACAAAGTGGATTTCAAGCCAAAAATGCTCAGAAGAGGCAAAGAAAGCCACTACATGTTGGTTAAGGGAAAAATTCAACAGGAAAAGACAGCAATTATAAACATATATGTGCCAAACACCGTTGCAACCAACTTCATAAAACAAACACTAGTGGACAAGAAAAATCAGATAAACACCAACATAATTATAATGGGGGACTGCTATGCCCAACTGTTTCAAATAAACAGTTCAACGAAAAAAAAACAAAAACAAAATATTAGAGTTGAACCAAAACTTTGAACAAATCGACTTAGTTTCATCTAACAATAACAGCATGCTTAAATAAGTGAAAACAAACAAAATTACCTCATGCACTATCAAATCACAGTTCAATGAAACTAGAAATCAATGGCAAAGAGACAAGAGAAATCATGCAGACTCAAGAAAATTAAACAATAATTTCTTGAATAATCAATGATTCACAGAAGAAATCAAGGAAGAAATTAGACAGTTATTAGAGCCAAATGCTAATGCTAGAACAACATACCAGAACCTATGGGACAAAATGAAGGCAGTCCTAAGAGGGAAGTTTCTAGTTGTGAATATCCACATCAGAAAAACAGAGTAAGCCCAAATAAATAACTAAATACTGTACCCCAATGCCCTAGAAAAATAAGAATAATCCAAATCCAAAGTTAGTACAAGGAAGGAAATTATAAAAATCAGAATATAGCCAGATGTGGCATACGCCTGTAATCTCAGTGCTAGGGAGGGCGAAGCAGGAGGATTGCTATGAGTTCAAGGCCAGGCTGGACTACATAGTGAGTTCAAGATAAGTTTAGACTGCACAGTAAGACTTTGTCTCAAAAACTAAAAAACAAAGTTGCGGGGGGACCTAAATCAGTGCAATTAGAAACAAAAAAGGTGTGGGCCAGGGATTTAGCTCAGTGGCACCACACCTGCCTCTCAAGTGCAAGGTCATGAGCTTGATCCCAAGTACCAAATAAATAATTAAATAAATAAGTAGGTGAAATCATAACAGACTCTGCCCAAATCCAGAAGATTATCAGTAACTACTTTGAGAGCCTGTATTCTAATAAAGTGAATAATTCTGAAGATATAAATAGATTCTTAGATACATATGAACCACCAAAACTGAAGCCATAAAGCCCCAAATAATCCAATATCACTCATTGAAAATAAAGAAGTAATTAAAAAAATAACTACCAACTAAGAAAAGGTCAACTCTGGATGGATTCACTGGCAAATTCTTCACGAACTTTAGGCAAGATCTAATGCCAACACTCCTCAGACTCTTTAGTAAATAAAAAGGAAGGAGTACTCTGAAAGTCATTTTTGGAAACTAGTATTATTCTGATTCCAAAACCAGAAAAGGACTCATCCAGAAAAGAGAACTACAGGGAAATCTCTTTAATAAGCACTGATGTGAAAATCCTGAGCAAGATACTGGCAAAGAGGATGCCACAAATCACCAAAAAACTCATACATTCAGACTAAGAAGGATTCATCCCAGGGATGTAAGGATGGTTCAAAGTATGCAAACCAATAAATGTAATACATCACATAAACAGAAGCAAGAACAAAAATCACACAATAATATCAATTGACAGGACAAAGTCTTTGACAAAATCGAACAACCATTCATGATTTTAAAAACCTGAAAAAAACAGGTGTATCTCAACCTGATAAAAGCTATGTTTGACAAACCAATGACCAACATTACATTAAGTGGAAATAAGCCAAACGCTTTCGCCTAAAATCAGGAACAAGGAAGGATGTTGCTGTCACCACTACTGTTCAAAATAGATATTTAAAACATTAGTCAAAACAATTAGAAAAGAGAAAGAAATAAAAGGAATATTTATAAGAAAGTGAGAAGTCAAATTATCATTATTTGCAGATGACATGATCCTCTACATAGAAAACTCCAAAAGTCCACCAAAAGGTTCCTAAAATAATAACCAATTCAGTGCTATAGCAAGATACAAAGTCAACACATGAAAATCATTAGCATTCCTCTATACCAATAACATCAACATCTTGGGCCATTACAGAAATGCAAATTAACACCGAGATTCCATCTTACTCCTAAAAGAAAGGTCATGATTAAGCAATCAGGTAACAACAAATACTGGCCAGGCTCCAGGGGAAAATGAACCCTTTATTACTGTTGGTTGGAAATTAATATGAAGATTCCTCAAAAAAACTAAAACAAGAAATTCCATTTGACCCAGCTACTACCCTCAAGTATTTTCCTGAGTTGGTCATCATATCACAGTGACCCACACACACCCATGTTTATAGAACCACAACTCACAATAGCTAAATCTTGGAAGCAGCCTATATGTCCATCAGTAGTTGAATGGATAAAGAAAGTCTGGTGTTTTTACACAACCAAGAGCTACTGTGATATAAATAGGATAAAGGAGTCATTTTAGGAAAATGGATTCACCTTGAGATCATGTTAAGTAAAATACAGTGTTGAGAACTCAGTTAATGAATGCTTTTGTTTGAGAACAATTTGGTTCACAAAAGTGTTTGGCAAAACTTTGTTTTTGTTGGAAAACTCTACAGTGAGTAACAAACACGACCATGACCATCTTTCCTGCATGAACACAAGCATGGCCATCTTTTCCAAAATTGTGGAATAAATTAATTTTGTGAACAGAGATACAACTGTAAATCACATACACATGCTTAAATATCTCATGTTTTCATAAAACTACTTTGTAAAACTAGTCCTATAGTAAAAGATGGGAAATACAAACACGAACATTCAGCAACTTAATTTGTATTGCTCTAATCTGTAGTAGGGTTCTCTAGAAGTGCAGAAGCAACAGAAAATACATGTATAATTATGGAAGGGGATTTTAAGACCAGAGAGGTGGCACCACTATGCTAAATCCCTGGCCCTATAGCATCTTTTAACTCAATGGATTATTTAACTAATGACCACAGACAATACTTCACATAGACTCCTGCCAAGCTGTCAGTCTCAATGGAATATTGTATGGATGGAAACAAAGACGTGAGATGTAAGAAGAAATAATAAAAACATGAAGATTCACAGTTTAGGTCAAACCCAGGGGCACAGCTGGGCATGGAGGTGCACGCCTATAATCCCAGTACTCAGGACACTGAGGCAAGAGGATCGCTGAGAGTTCCAGGCCAGCTTGGGCTATAAAGTTCAAGGCCAGCCTGAACTGCGTAGTGAGGCCCTGTCTCAAAAACCCAAAACCAACCAACCAAACCCAGCAGCACTCTACCACAGAGCTACATCTCCAGCAATTTACTTTGAGACACAAGTCTCACTAAGTTACCCCGTCTGCATTTGAACTTGCAACCCTCCTGCCTCAGAGTCCCAAGTAATGGCGCTTATAGGTGTGTGCCACAGAACTGGGCTTCAGCTCAGCTTGCTCACTAGCCACAGGAATGGTCTCCATTTGGGAGGTCCAGTTGAGCGGGAATGTGGTCACGTGCCACCACTGTATCATCCCAGGCCCCTTGATCTTCATCTTTGCTTTGTCCTTCTATTGTCTGGAATGCAGCCATGCCATTTCACAGCTGTGTCCTCCAGAAATTGTAATAAGTACACTTTTATACCAGGTGACCATAACCTGCTTTCAATTTTGCTTTTGCAAGTTTCTCTAGAGACTAATTACATTCTCTCTTATTTCCTCCCCCTCAGCAAATATGTCTTGGAAATGTCGACAGATACATTGCTCCCTCCTACATGGAACAACAGGAAAGCGAAGGCCTTGCTGCCTCTTCCAGAACCTCTCTGAACCCTGTGCAGATATGTACTTAGTAACTTCCAAAGAAGAGGCATTATAGCAACGATCTTTGTGGTATGGGTTTCTAGTTTAATTCTCTTGTGGTCAGGGACCATACACTGTGATTTTAACTCTTTTTAGCCTAACATATGGTGATTTTTCTGAAAACACGTATATATTTAAAAAGAATATAGGGCTGTGGGTGTAGCTCAGTGGTAGACACTTGTGTGGCACATGCAAGGCCCTGGGTTTGATCCCCAATACCCGCCCGCACACAAATATAGGTTTACAGATGTGTCTATATTTGTTAATTAGGTCAAGTACATTAATCATCTCATTTGAATATGCATTATTCTTGTTTTTTCTGCTTACATCATTTTTTCACTTACTGAAAATGGCATATTAAAATCTTTAAGTATGATTGCAAGTTTGTCTAGCTTTCCTTAAAGTTATGACAGTTTTTGCTTTATAAAATTTGAGGCTATAAATCAGATATGGTGGCAAACACCTGTAATTCCAGCACTCGGGAGGCTGAAGCAGGAGGATTGCCATGAGTTCAAGGACAGCCTGGGCTATATAGTAAGATCAGGACCAACCTGGACTACGTAGTGAGACCCTGTCTCGACCTTCCCCCAAAAAGTCGAGATTATTTATTAACTACAGTATATACAAATTTAGAACGTTTATATCTCTGTTGAATTGACACTTTTAAAATTCAACTGTTTTTTTTAAATCATCATTTCATAATCTTTGTATTTCACAAATCTCTCTTTAAAAGTTTTTTTTTTTATTTTTTTGTGCTACCAGAGATCAAACTCAGGACCTTGTGCTTGCCAGGCAGGCACAGTGCCACTGAGCTACCTCCCTGGCCTGAAAAGTTTTATTTTTAAGGAATCTGACAATCTTAGTCATTTAATTAAAGAATTTATTCCATTTTCATTTAATGCAATTATTGGCATATTTAAGGTTAAATCTAATGTCTATTTTCCTGCTATTTTAAAAAATATGTTCCTCTCTCCTTTCTTGCTTTCTTGAGGGTTGACTTTTAAAATCATTCTATTTTCCTGATAGTTATCCACACTATTGACTTGACAGTTACACATCTTGTTAATATTATTTTAAGAGTTGTACTAGTGATTATATGTCTTTGTCAAAGTCTAACGTACGTTATTAGCATTTTCATTATTTCCAAGACAATTAGGCAGTCTTAGAATATTTTAACTCCATCCTCTTTGTGAAAATTGTATGATATTGTGATCAAGTCTTTTGATTTTATTCATTTTTGAAATTCAGAAAACATTGTTATTTTCCACAATATGACTTTAAATTTTTCCATTGGTCCTTCCTGTCATTCCTCATTCCTCATTCTGAACCTCCTTTGAGATTATTTGCTTACTGTTTAGTGAGCCCTCCATTTCTCCCAACCCTGCATGTTTATCCAGCAGTTTTCTGTAGTCATTCGTAGTTCTGTTTGTACGTTTTCACATATCATTGATGTCTTTGCCTTTTTTGGTGTTCTTCCTGCATTTTCAGACTTCCACGTGACTAAATTTTTTCTTGCTAGCAGGATACTCTTTAGTGTTCCCTTTATTTTGTGTCTGAGGATGACACATTCTCTCAAGCTTTGTTTCTAAAACTGACTTTGTGCTATCCTCATTATTGAACAAAATTCTGGTTTGTCATACTCTCTAATACTCAGCCTCCATTTATCCATGGAACTACATTTTGGGTTCTTCCAGGAAAAGAAACTTAGCATGGATGTTTCATTACTTTGCGGTGAACATAAACTCTACATTTTCTAAATTTGGAAATGACAGTACGTAATTATGATGTTGCACCCAGAGCAAACCACACTTGTTCATGTTTTTCTGTGATACACAGGCCAGAACAAATAAAGGGAGCATCAGTGTTTGAAAGTTTGAAAAAACCAAGTCACAAAAAGCAGTTAGGAAAGGGAGATGAATTTTGCAAGGAATAGTTCCCAAACCTAAACCCTGAATGTTCACTGCAATTCTTTCTACTTCTTGCCCTCTTAACTACATTCATTCATTTATTTATTGTCTTTCAGCAAGTAGTTTTTTTTTAACCTCTGTTTAGTGCTGGAGGCTGCAAATTCTGGTAAATCAGTAATGAACTCAGCTGGCAAGAAGTTTCCAATAAGAAGATAAGAGATGTACAAATATCAGTAAAAGATCAAGACATCCATAAGAAATGCCAGACAAAAATTCTCCATTAGAGGAGTGAAAGATAGCTTGTGGGAAAAAAACAAAACAAAACTGAACAATAAAATGGAACAGTGGCGGCGGCGGGCGGGGGTGTCTCCAGGAGGCAGAGGCAGAATTGGCCATGCCAGGATGGTGACAAGTGAGAAGTTTTTCTGGGAAACGGTGTCCAAGAACAAGTACACTGTTGGGTAGAAAGATAAGTGCAACTGCGCAGTGAGAAATAAATGTTAGATACAGTGGCCCTGGGTAGTGAGCTCAGTCCTGCTGGAGACAGCACTCAGCTGAAGCAATCCTGAGCTTTCCATCCAGAGAGGTGAGGGAGAAGGGCACATATCTGGCATCTCCTGGGGACCAGCCTTGCTCAGGCCTGATGGGCAGGACCTCAGTGATCCTCGAATCATCCTGCAGGTGACCATCAGGATCCCCATGGCAGAGCCCTTGTCCTTCCCAGTTTGATGCAGACGATCATGCCTGTTGCCTTGTTAGCTGGGTGTGGATGTGGCTTGCAGTGTCAGACTGGCCATACATAGGGCAGATCGCTGTGCAAAGGATGACCAACATGTACAGTGCATGAAATTATTGTAGTAAAAGGCTCATTGCCAGGAATCCCCCTCGAAATTCCTCCTTGCTTCACACACACTCATGCTATTGTTCTTGTCCTTTCAGCAGCAGCTCTGGCATCCTCTTTCATGAGATTTACGAGATACAATAAAAAGACACAGTGAAGGCTGCTGCCTAGAGCCACCCAACAGAAAGCCGGGCAGGCATGTAAAAACACGACCCTGTGTCCTCATCCCCACTTATGAACCAGGTGTGGCCTTGTGTGTCTGCTGGCTCTTCCCCAAAGTCCAAATGACCGCGAAAGGGAGACGTTTTGATTCTGTTCAGCACATCGAGGCAGCCAGGACAGTGACCCTCAGGAAAGAGGACTCTAGAGCTGCTGCAGACTGGCAAGCACGATGGGATAGGATGGGTGTGCTTGAAGTGAGGGGTGGATTTTGAGAGGGACTCATAACCCTTTTACTGTAATACAATTTTTTAAAGTGTCAATTTTCACCATAGTTTTTGATCACACCGTGCATACCCCAGAGGGTCTGAATAACAGGGGGATCCATCTTTGGCACGTGGGAAGGGGACCGAGAGATGAGGGAGTGGGGAGGGAGGGAAAGGGGATATAAAAAGAGCCCCAATGTATTACGTACGTGTGCCAGCTTCCCACGAGGAGTGCAGTCATTGTTTACTGCAAGCAGGGACTAATGTAATCGCCGAGGTCGCCGCTGGATCCCACACAGGATCCACACCGCTGCCAGGCGCGGGCCGTGGAGCTGGAAAGTAGCCGGTTTAAAGCCTCCCTGGGCAGGCGCGCCCCGCCCACTCGCACGGGATTGGTCTCCGGCCTAGGGGGCGGGACCTTCCAGTCGAAGGGGCGGATTCTGTCAAAGGAGAGTCCGGCTCGCCCGGTGCGGGGGCGTGCCCTACGTTTGGTGGGCGTGGCCTGTCCTCGGGGGTGGGGCCAGGC